GGTAAATATTATAAAACTAAAATAAAAAAAAAAACATAATAAAGAATATATTAATAAAAATTATTAATCAGTCTTTCCTCTATTTATTGGGAAAAGTTTCTCAGACTTATGAGTTCAGTTAGGTATACATATCACAAAATTAAAAATTAATTAAACAAATGCCAAATGAAAAATTTAAATACCCATGGCATAATACATTTTTACWTAGCCAAATTATATTGAGCAAATGATATTGCAAAGACCATTTCACCTCTTCTTCCAATACTGGGTTCTGGTAGTCTACATATTATATTATTCTCATCAATTTCGTCGATGTCGTCGTTATTAGGGTAAATGAAAGATGTAGAATTCTTATTATCATTCTCAAATTTTAAAAATCTCATCTTATAAATCTGATTTTTTATTTCATGAACCGTTTCTACATAATACACTGTTTTCTGATTTTTACCAACATAATATTTTATCAAAAGCCAATCTCCAATCTGATGCTCGGATCTTTCAAGATTCTCTTGCAACGCCAACTCAATATCAGCCCTTTCTATTTCATTTAACAAGTCACTTTCATTGGAACAGACACTCAAATTTAAAAGTAGATCATCATCAAAATTTATATTATTGTTTATAACTTTATCAATAATTTCATTTTCATTTTTCTCTGTGTCTTCTTGTATCGTTGCTACACGCTTTTTCTTTTTTTTTGTGTTCTCTTTTCATTATTTTTTTCCCTTAACATTTGAATAGCTTCTTCAGACGTTATAACTGATGCTCCWCTAGTTACTTTTYTTTTTGATGACTTTTGGCTTCCAACCTGTTTCATAGAAGWTAATAAAAGTTCTTCAAATGATGTATAACTAGGAGTGGATGAAATACTATTCAATTCTTGATTATCTGTGGGACCTGGTAAATCATTGTCTTGTGGTTCTATTTTAACAATACCAAGATTTATTGAGTTGTTATTTTCTTGTGATTTCATCCATCTTTTTAAGCTCTCTGGATCAAACCTATTTTTATCAATAACTGAATTATTAAATGGATATATTCCAGCCTTTGAAAACCCATTTTTTATAATTTGTTCATCTAATTTAGTCCAAATACTACATAGTATATTGGATAGTTCATGTTTAGGAAGTTTTTGTCCTTGGTGTCTTCTCGTCCACGCACATAAACTTTCATCCCACTTGGTTTTTATAGATTTGAAGATAGCTAAATCTAAAGGTTGTAGTAAGTGACTGGAATGAGGTGGCAATAGTATAATGGTTACATTATTTTTTTTTGCCAGTTCTACCAATTTTAAATCTATATGCGAAGAATGACCATCATATATTAAAACTACAGGGTTTTCTGGTGTTGGTTTTGAAGTTTTCAAAAAGCTTTTTTCAAAATAGTTGATGAATACTTGTTTTTCCATCCWACCATTTTYAGTTGCGGCATATGTAGTTYYAGGGAAGTTAGATTTTTCACCAACCCACTTATCCCACACACTTTTACCTTTAAAAATAATTAGAGGTGGTCCCTTTTCACCAGCAGCATTACACGACATAAGAACAGACGTATTATCTCTACCAGAGCCCTGTGTTACACGAGTTGCAGCCACATTTTTKGCACCTACCACTCTTGTTTTTGAAGCATCTAAGCAGAATGATGTTTCATCTAAGTTCCAAATTCGTTCTGGTTTATCTAACAGTTTTAACTCTTTAAGGGTATTCAACAATAAATCAAAATATCCGTAGATTATAAAAGGATCACAGGCTTTTTTCCTCGCATACTCAACGATTTCTGGTTTTTTTTAAACTTAACTTATGCCTAAATGAAAAACCAAGCCACCAATCCTCTTTTGGGTAACCATTATTAAATGGATTTAATATATTATTTGTATTTAAATAATCGCCTACTAATGTCAATACTTCTTTGCGACTTAGACCATACCCAAATTTTTCCATATTTTTTAGTAGTTCTGCCAAATTCTCTTCTACAGCTAGAGTCAATGCTGGTGGACGCCCATAAGTACTAGATTTTTGCCCTCGTCTGCCCTTAATGTGATCATATAAAGTTGCCTTTGGTATGGAATAATGTTTTGATGCTCCTGTTACTGTGAATATCCCCAGTTTTATATCTTTTACAGCTGTAGAAAGAAGTGTTTTTGAATACWTAGGTTTTTCAGTTTTCCTTTTGTAGTTCCTCGCCATTTTTACTGTAACTATAATATAAGTACATAGTTTAAATATTTTAGATAAGTACTTAGGTAATTAATGTATGTATGTAGTAGGTAGCTTCAGCTTTTATGGGTGGGGAAAGTGCGACTTCACTAGTCGCATTTACCCCATTGAAACATTAGCACTTGCCCCATATATCAATTTTAACGAGGGAAGTGCATAATTTTTAAAAACAATTTTTAAACAAAACATTGAGTTAATTCAATAAGTTTAATGCAAACTAGATATAAAAAAACATAACTTACCTAAGTTTCAGCCCAGCTCGATAAAAAAAAAGGTGAGAAAAAAAATTGACTAACAAAACATTTATTACTAAAACGTGAGATAAAAACCATTTGTTTTTTCGTTAATAGATAACATCATTAAATGATATCATTACAGTGTATCCAACATTTAATGAACAATCTAGGATATTTCGACAATTGTTTTTCTATCTTCAAAGCAGTTATATGTTAAAATACAATAACATGCAGGATAGGCATTTACCCCGTTTATGCACAAGCCCCACTTTTCACCCTACCAATTTCTACCTCGCTTTCTATTATTAGTATAAGCGTTTTTCGATTCTTTTTTTCTACAATGAAAAATCGACCTTTAGTATTGTTGTGTTTATTACACCACAAACCAAATACCCACGGTCGCTGTATTCTATTTCCATAATTTCGTTGGTTATTTTCTACCGGAGTTTCAATTTCATAATTTGAAGTTTCTTCACTATCTTCATGTGGTCGTGGGTTGTAATTATCACGTTGTGAGCGATCGTGATTATATTTTCGTTAGAATATAGGTATCTGTTATCGGTAGATCACACGTTGTACCTACAACGCTTTTCACAGATAGCCGTTTATCTGTAGATCACACATTGGACCGGTCCCAATAAAACTAATTTTTGTTGACATCGCATATTGTTTTGTAGCGAATTTATAATTTTAAACTGCATTTTGGAAATATCGAAGAAATCTCTTTCTATTAGTATGATGAATTGCATTTCTAATAGTTCTATTATCTTCTGGATTACTGAAATCTGTGATTCGAATTGAAGATTCTACTTCAGTTGAAACCCTTGGTGTAATTTCTCTAAAGTTACATGCTATATTATGAAGTACTGCAGTAGCTACAATAATACTGTGAGAAGAGGAAATTTTTACATTTACACCAGTAGCTAAAAAGGGAAATCACCTTTTCCAAACACCGTAGTTTCTTTCCACAGTGTTTCGAGTTCTGATTAAAGACTCATTATATCTGTCTACAGCAACTGTAGAAATCCCTGATAATGGATCTATAACTGTGTGAGGGTTTCCGACTAGAGTCATAACATAGCTACACTGAGCATATCCACTGTCGGCTACCAAAATGCTATTTTTCATTTCGTCTCTTTCAAACTTGCTTCTTATTGCTGAATTATTAAATATTGTAGAATCGTGGGAAGATCCAGGCCATCTTGCTACAATGTCTTGTATTTTCAAATTTGCATCACAAATTGTTTGTACATTTATGGAAAAGAAGCCTTTTCTGTTCTGGTACACTTCTACATTGTCTCCTCCAGGGGATTTTATTTTTACATGGGTACAATCCATTGCACCAATAACCACAGGAAATTTGGCAATGTTGTAAAAATCTTTTCACCTTTTATATGTCATCTTCATTCCTTGGAAAATGAATAAAATCGGAACATAATGTGAGACAAGCTTCACTATACGGCTGGCTGTTGATTTATGAATTCCTATGAAATCACCGCAAACAATCAACATGGAGCCCGTTGCATAATAGCGTAATGTAAGGAGTAATTTATGTTCTGGACTTACAGCATGATTCCTATAACAAAATTCAATTTAAATTACATGAATAAAATAAATCATTAATGAATTGCAAGATAAATTGTATAGAAATGTAGCGTCCCAGCATACAGGAGGACAAACGACTGGTGTTGAGGTAGATGGATTGAGTGTAATAAGTATAAMRAYTTARTTTGYGATKAATTATTAGATATTTATTTGATTACTATGTAAATAAAACACTCTTTACTGCACAAATGATTTAGTTGCAAAATATTCTAAGTCCGAATAATTAAATTGGACTGGTGTCTGGCGTGAAGGTGCTTGCTCTGACTCTGGTGGCTCACGTCTGAATTGGGTCTAATCGGGGCTCTCCTATATAGTSCAGWTAGTCCTACTCYCTGCGTTTCCTCTCCTATCGATAAGATACGTATGTGTCCATGGCCGAGTCGTGCAAAAGCGTACGCGTGTATTGTTCTAATATCGCGGCTTCCCACGCCCATACGACCGGTTGGTCCACATCCTGGTTATTCGCGATACGTAATCTCAATAACCCGACGACATTAATCATATCTCTAGATACGCCTGTCAATACTACGTTTTTATATTTAATATTTCGTATATCTAATTCCAACTATGGTGATATTTTGGAAAGGCTAAGAGTTTGGCCTTCGATATAGCTACACAATAGAATTGGTTGGCGAAATTATACGCCCCAGTCACTTATATATATCTACGTGTATATGCGTGTTTAGATGTCTCAGCGAGACGTCAGTACATAGCAGAAACAACAACTCAATTTCAATTAAATAGTTTATTAGACTTTCCACATCCAACAGTGCAGTATTAAGTAACTTATTTTGTACAACTTAACATTATGATTTTTAGATAAGATTATTTATGTTTAGCATGTATTAATTATAGTAATTTTTGAACAGAAGTCTATTGTTGTGTATAACATTCTAAATTGGTTAATTTATTTCGATGTTCGGTTACGTACATGATACTACGTGGTTAAGAATTAAGATGTATGATTTCAGTAGTATAGAGTAACGCATTGAATATAATATCTAACATATGATACTGGCGTCTGGCATTACAAAAATGTAAAATTTAAGAATGAACTTACCAATTAGTAGGAGAACAGATGCGTTCGCCTATCAAATCAACTAAGAAATGGACTGTATTTTTGGATAATCGAAATCTGTTAAAGGATTCATTATCCCTCCAATAAGTGAAATGATCAGGCCGTGGTTTGAATATTCGCTGTCGTCTAGGAAAATACAATAATAATGCCAAGTTGTTGGATTCATCATCCTCGTAGTCAGAATCGTCATCCATAATATTATTATTTATTMATTATTTTAAATTTTTAAATAAGATTTTTAACACAATTAAATAAAAAAATACACAATTGTCAATTATATAAAAAATTAAATATGATACTATGATAGTAGTAAGATACTGTGAAGTGTGAATAAATTAAAATAATAGATAACAATACCGCCAAAATTAACTAATCAGCGTTTAACCGTGGTCTACAGGCCGGTTAACTATTTGGTCGTTTAATCAATGATTAACAAGTTACCCAGCACTGTACAACGACCCAATATCGTTAATCATAGATTAACTCTTAATCACTGTTCAACCGACGGCGGTACAACTGGCCCTTACACGTTTTTGTTTACATTGAAAGTGTCCCTTCTGATTTAATCTATTCTGTAAAGGTGCGTTTACATTAGAGCCCGAACACGAACGAATGCAAGCGAATGCTACCAAACGAACCAATGAAAACGGTTGGCCGAACGCGAACGAACGCCATCGTTCGCGTTCGGCAACGTTCGCCCCAAGAGCGGTACGATCAAAGAAACCCTCCGTTCAGTTTAAACGGCATTCGGCCCGTATCGCGTATTCGTGACTTCCGTCCGAAAGGTCAATTAATAAAAAGTGTGAATTTTGTTTTTTTATTTCATTTTTGTTGTGGTTTTAATTATTTTACTGACTCGTAATTATGGAGTGGAATGACGAAATATGCTTACAATTAATACACTTATATAAATTAAGACCTATCCTTTGGGATCCGACTGATCCTCAATATAAAATGGTCCAGAAAAAATTGGATTTTTGGACGGAAATAAGCAAGGAACTTAAGCTTGATGTCAACGAAGTAAAAAAAAAGATGGAGAGCCTTTTAGCTTCTTTCCGAAGAGAGAGGAAACATGAAGGCAGCAGTGGACGTTCAGGAGCTGGAACAGATGAGATTTATCATTCAAAATGGTTTGCGTTTGAGGAAATGAAATTTTTGAATGATAAATTTAAACCTCGGATTACCAAAGATACTGTTGATGTGAGTATTTTTTTATATTTACTAGATTAGTCCTTATTTGCAAGAAATAAAATGATTAATAATTTTTATGTATTATACGTTATGTATAACATCTTCATAAAATCCTGAATAACTGCATTTTAAAATATTTATTTATAAATAAGCAGGGCTTTCATAAAAAAATAATAATACTGTTTACCGTTATAAGAAATTTAAACGTTATGAGCAATTTAGTGTTTTAACTTGCTCTGGTTCTAACTTCTAAGTACTTATTGAATACATAAAATTATTTATCTTGATTATTTTTCTATTCATTTGGGTATACGTTTTTTAGGGCGTCACGCGTTTGGGCGAATTTTTAAAATTGCAATGTGTTTGGGCAATTAAGCATTATGCATTTGGGGTATCTGATTTTAAAACAATATAATGTGTTTGTGCTACCTTTTTTAAAAATATTTATTTTTGTCTTGAATCTTTTTTATTTTTTTTTAAACTTACCTTTGAAGCCTGGCGGCTATGGCCAATTAGCTGATTATGGGGTTTTATGGTTGTAAGTAGTAGTGCTTGTAACGGTAAGGTTTTTACACATGTGTGTAGTACTTGACAGAATTTCTAATGGGGCATCCGTAGTTTTCTGCCATATCCCGGAAGGGGCATAGCCGTTTCTCCAGACAGTTGCCTGATCGGAGAAAAATTCCGATTGAAGCCGAGGATCGAACCGGCGACGGAAATCTTTTATATTGTCGCTCAAACACATTAAGAAATTCACCCAAACACGTCACTTTTATTCTTCGAGTATAAAGGTAACTCGCCCAGACGCAGACCGCCCCGTTTTTCAAACGGCAAACAATTGACCTTTTTCTTGGTATACCAGACACGGATTACTATAGAACTTATTGTTGACAGAAGTACGTTTTTTCGATAGTCGAGCAAGATAACGATTACCAAGAAAAATCCTGAATTACGTCGTTTTTTTATTACATATCTAAATAATAATAACTATTTTTATACTTATCTTATTCTAGGTTTAATAAAATATATTCAACGAATGTTAGATAAAAAAATTCTTTATTTCTTTATATATAAATATTTAATGATTTACTTTTACCAGTTACTTACTAATAACCACTAGGTACTAATACTAAAATAAATTAATAAAGCAAATTCTATATAAACTATTGCTGATTCCTATGCTAATTTTGATTGCCATGGCACAGCACCAACGCTCGAAAAATATTCAGCAAATTCATTTCGATTTTCTTCTGCAAAACGTGGTGATCTTCTTCCAACCCTTTCCATAGGAGTGAATGCACTGTTACTCTGTATGTCTTCTCTCCACGTTCCACGGACAAGTTGCCCTTCAATTTCATGGTCAATTAAATTTGTCGGTGAATAAATATCTCTCGATGACTTTTTCTTTTCTAAGAAAATTGTGTAGGTATACACACGCCATAACTACAAGCTCGGCCTCTAAATACCCTAAATACGGCAGATAGATTACCAAAAACATTTTCGACCACTCGCCGAGCTCTCGACAAACGGTAGTTAAAAATTCTTTTGTCCGATCCCTTTTCATGAGAGCCGGGGTAAGGTCTAAGTATGTTCTCTTTTAACGGAAATGCCGCATCTGCTACAAATACATATGGCACGGCCTTTTCCCGTCCAATTAATTTTTCTGGTGGTGGAATTTCTAGCTTTTGTTCTTCWAGCTGTTTAAAAAACGATGTATTTCGAAAAACTCCGCCGTCCAAAATTCGGCCCTGACAACCGACATCAGCATATAAAAAATTGTAATCGGCATCAACAACCGCCATCAATACAATGCTGAAAGTTGATTTGTATTTGTAAAAATTACTTCCACTACCAATTGGTGCTTGTAGTTGCACATGTTTCCCATCAATTGCACCAATGCAATGAGGTAAATTCCAAACGTCTTCATATTTTTTGCTAACGCTCAACCACTCTTCTTGGCTCTTAGGTACCTAGAATCGACAAAAATAAAAATACACTATATTATTTTTCGTCTGCAAAACATTTTAAATTTTTAGTTCTTGACAATAAAAACTGAGTGTTTTATAAATTTTTAACTACGAAATAGTTTACAAATTATCGATATTCTAATACATTTTGTAAAAATTTGAACTATAATATATTCTTCTAAAAAAAATCGTTGTTACGTTTGCGTGTCTTCAATATTTTTCAATTGCTATCAAAACCATGGCTGGGCAAGTTAAATAATTTTTTAACTCGTTAACTTAAATTAATACAGACAAATTAAAGTTAAGTTTAAAATTATATTTTATTTATTTATTTATTTTATTTTATTTTCAATATAACTCGTAAAAAGTTAAAAATTAGTTTGAAAAAAAAAGTAACTTAACTTAGTTAAAAATAAGTTTTTTTTATGTATATAAAAATCAAGATATAATTTTAAATCTATGAAAATTATATTAGGATTAGGAATAATAAATAAATTAACGTAACTTTAAAATAAATTAACTCGACAAGTCAAAAGATTAAAGATTAAAGATTTTTTTGACCACCCTAATTTTTCTTATCTACTTTTCTACAAAAAAAAAAAAAAAAAAAAAACAAAAAAGAAATTTCAAATTGAATATTGTGAAACAAACATTTTGTTAAGATTTCAAATGTTATTCGTTTTTGAGATACACAAAAAACAAAATTGATTTATCGATAACTAATTTTGCGTTTTGTTTATAATTCATTTTTATAGCCGACTGCCACGCACACTRAAACCTGTAACCCAGATGAAGCTGTTGAAATCGTGGAAGATGAGATTGAGCATGCCACAGATGAAGAACTGCTGCAAAAAGATAAAGTTTTTGTTTCACCCCGAGAAATAACAGGCTTGAAAAGAAAAAAAATGCGGAAGACCCTAGGATAGCAGAAACCTATGAAATAATAAAAGAAATTTCAAATAAAAGCCAAACACCGAAAATTAAGAGAGACAGTACTATTTTTGGGGAGTATGTTGCCAGTAAGCTAGATTTATTCGATCAACAAACGAAGACAATACTACAACATCAAATAAGTAGTCTTATTTGCTCCACTGAAATCAATTATCTTCATAACAACAAATCTGGAAACCAACCTTATCAACTCAATATTAATAATCAGCCTTCAGTCAATTCAATGTCATTTTCATCTCCACTTTCATCGCCAAGTTCATCTCTTCACTCAATGTCTAATATTTCACCAGTCACCATATTATCCTTCTTCAGTGCAGGCAGTGCAGCAGCCTTATCATCAAGATAATATGTCCAACTTCTCAAGTATATACGACTATCAATATCCGCCAACCCCTACTACATCAGCTTATGCCAATGCGTCAGAAACTATTCCAACTGATGACCTAAACACTAGATCAAATAATATATAATACAGTTTAATATTTACATACAATATTTAAGTTTTTTTTTTTACTATACATAAAAGGTTATATTTATTTTTTATTTATTTTTTTATTATATTGTTCAATTGCTTATACTTTCAACGTTATAACTATGTTTATATTATTGTTATTTAAAAAGGTTATATTTATTTTTTATTTTTTTTTTATTATGTTGTTCTATTGATTATACTTTAAATTTTATAATTATGTTTTGTTATAAGTACGCATATTATATTGATATTTAAAAAGGATATTATATTTATTTTTATTTTATAATTATAATAAAGTAAACAAAATTACCTGTATGTAGTCTTGTAGAACTTCAATTATGGCTGTACAGACCTCTGGTATGATATGTGAAATTGATGATTTTGAAATTTTAAAAATAAGTGATAAGCTTGAAAATGAATCACCTGTCGCCAAGTACCTTAACGTTAATGCAAGTCTCTCATTTRAGGGTATAGCTTTTCGAAACTTGGTATCTTCTTTTCGAATTTTAGGATCAACTAATGTAAGTAACTGGCTAAATGTTTCATATGACATTCTACAGCAGTTTTTAAAGTTATCACCACCTTCTTTTTGTAAGTCGTTTAGCAACATAGT